ATGCGGGAGGCGAAACTGGAGCTTGACGCCATGAGCTGGAACGCTGGGATTAGGGCGTGCGATAAGGGCGAGCAATGGCAGCGGGCCTTGTCGCTACTCAGGGAGATGCGCGGGGCGAAGTTGGATCCCGATATTACCAGCTTTCACGCTGGGATCAGCGCGTGTCGGGGACGCGGGCAATGGCAACGTGCCTTGTCAGTGGTCCGCGAGATGCGGGAGGCGGAGTTGGATCCCGACGTCGTCAGCTACCGCGCTGGGATCTTCGCATGCCAGGAGGGTGGACAGTGGCAATGTGCCTTGTCGGCTCTCAGCGAGATGCGGGAGGCGAACTTGGATGTCGACGTCCTCAGCTACCGCGCTGGGATCAGCGCGTGCCAGAAAGGCGAACAGTGGCTACGTGCCTTGGTGCTGCTGGGCGAGCTGTGGGAGGCGAAGTTGGAGCCCGAAGTCGTCTTCTCAATGGTTTTGTAGGCGCACGCGCATGCTTGAAGTGTCTGGCGTGATTGGGCGGGCCGGGATCCGCTCGGGGCGCCCTACGAGCCCTCCGTGGGGCACTCCACGACGGCTCCGGAGGGACCCCGATGGCCCCAAGGCCCCAGGCGGCCCCAGGACGGCTCAGAGATGCTCAAGAGAGCTCCAAGACGGGCCAAGAGAGCGGCTCAAGAGAGCTCCAGGACGGGCTCCAAGACCCGGAGGGAGCGGGCCCCGCGACGAGCCCAGGACCATCCCGAGACGGCCCAAGAAAAGACCCCGACGACGCCAGGGCGAGGCCCCGATCACATGTTCTCCTTCTGTCTTTGCAGGGTTTTCGCGCTCCTGCAACTTCGGGCCAAGGACGTCCCCGGACGGCCCCGCGGACCAAGAGCGGCCTCAAACGGCCCGAAGACAGGCCCCAGAGGCCCCGAAGAGGGCTCCCCAGAAAGGCACGAGATCGTTCGGAGAACGATAGGATGGGCCCGGAGTGTCCTGGAGAATTTTGTTCCGGATTTCGAGGTGAATTTCGAGCGGATGTTTGTGGGCCAGGAATGAAGACCAAAACACATTTCGCTTCGTTTTTAGAGCGCCGTTTCGGGCACAAATCCATGCAGAAATCCGCTGCAGCACGTCTGCAAGGCCAGTGCAATGAGACTTCGCCCTCCGCCACTTTCCCAGTATGGTCGACGTGGGTTTCCTTGATCTGCGCAAGGCTTCCATCATGAGCTTCCATGAGTTCTTCCGCACCTTCCGCGGAGGTTAGACGGTGCGGAAGGGGGAGGGGGGGGGAGTGAGCCCGCAGATGGCCTCCGGACGGCCCCAGGCGGCTTCAAGACGATGCAGATGGCTGCATCACGGCTCGAGAGAACCCCGAGAAAGCTTCAAGACGGCCACAGAGTCAATCAGTGGCGAAGCGTTTTGGCTGGCCTATAGGCCTACCAAAGAATATTCTAAGAACCTTTTGGGGTCTGCACGAAGTGTTCTTAGAACATTTCTGGCTGGTACTGTCCTGTTTTAACACATCGGGCTTATGTTCTAAGAACATTGTTTTTGTTATTATAACATGTTTGGGTTCTAAGAACATGGCGTTGTAGGCCTATAGGAATGCCGGGACGGTCGCTCCCTGCTCAACAGAGGGCCCGAATGGAGGGCCACGTGGCTCCCAAGAAGCTGGCCCCTGAGGACAACCGACGACGGCCCGAGGCTGCCAACACCATACGTTTTCCAAAGGTTCTTAAAGGATTTGAAGGGGTTCTCGCCATCTCGGGCCAAGAACGGCCGAGAACGCCTTCAGGAGCCTGCCAGATCGCCTCCAAATGGCCCAAGAGGCCCTGACGAGGGCCGGAGACAGCGCAGAGGGCCCCCACGGACGGTCCAAGAGGGCCCCAAGGCGGCCCAAGAGAGCCCCAAGAGGCCCCTCAAAGGGCCCCACGAGAGCCCCACGAGGCCTCGCAGACGGCCCTGAGGGGCCCACAAAGCGTTTGAAGACGGTCCGAGAGGACCATCATGGCCCCAAGACGGGCCCCAACAGTTCTCCAGGACAGCCCCAGAGGGGCCTAAGAAGAGGGCCCAACATAACTCAGTCGTTCTCGACGCACAGCGGAGCCTGGGTGCTCGTCTCCTGGTGCCAGCTTTTTGGGCCCGCAGGTCCCGGCTCCGCCCGAGGTCTTCTCTGCGATGCAGCGACCCTTTGCGTGCGAGCAGGTGCTTGTCCCGCAAAAGGCTCCCCGCGCCCTCCGGGGCGCCCTGCGGGTCCCCCGGGCGCTCCGAGACGGCTCCAGGGGGAGGAGGAGGAGGAGGAGGAGGAGGAGGAGGAGGAGGAGGAGGAGGAGGAGGAGGAGGAGGAGGAGGAGGAGGAGGAGGAGCAGGAGGAGCAGGAGCGAGGAGGAGGAGGAGGAGGAGGAGGAGGAGGAGAAGGAGGAGGGGGCCCCCGAGATGCCCCAACACGGCTCAGGGACATGCAAGAGGGCGCCTGGACGCCCCAAGAGGACCCCAAGCGAGCCCCAGGATGGCCCCCAGGACGAGGCTGGAAGTTCGATGCTCCCCCAGAGATAAAGCACCCAAAGCCTCTTGGGGGCCGTGTGGGGGCCTCTTCTCATCCTTCTGGGGGTCTCTCGGAGCCCTCTTGGGCCGTCTCGGGTGCCTCTTGGGTCGTCTCGGGCGCCTCTGGAGCCGTCCTGGGGCCGTCTCGGGCCGTTTTGGGGCCCTGCAGGGGCGTCTGGGGGCGATCTAGGGGGCCTGTACAGCAGTTTGGGGACTGCAGACGGGCAGAAGGAACATATGAAAAGATACGTTTTCCGAAAGGACTGGGACAATTATTGCATCTTAGGGTTCTCCTGGGGGTCCTCCTGGGCCGCCGTCTCGGAAGCCTACTGGCCTGCCTTGGAAGCCTCTGGGGCCATCCTGGGGCTCGCTTGGGGTCCTCTGGGGGCGTCCAGGCGCCCTCTTGAGCTTCTCTGAGCCATCTTAGGGCCATCTTGGGCCGTTCCTGTGCGCTCGTGGGGCTGTCTTGGGTGCCTCTTGGGCCGTCTCGGGCGCCTCTGGAGCCGTCCCGGGGCCGTCTCGGGCCGTTTTGGGACCGTCTGGGGGCGTCTTGGGGCGATCATGGGGGCCTGTACAGCCAGCCGTCTTGGATACTGCGCAGACGAAAAGAACGGACATAGGAAGCATGTGTTTTCCAAGAAAGGACTGGGACGATTTTTGCCTCTTGGGGCTCTCCTAGGGGTCCTCCTGGGCCGTCTCGGGAGGCTCCTGGCCTGCCTTGGAGGCCTCGGGCCATCCTGGGGCCCTCTGGGACTCTAAAGTGAGCTGGGCGTTGCATGTGTGTGGGAACGAACGTTTATCCGCGGCTGCTTGGCTCAAAGCGGCCGACAGCCCAGATCTGACTACACCTCAGCGCGAGGTGTACTATTTGCCATCGATGCCAAAAGACTGCTTGAGATGGCTCGCCCCCTACTACTGGGAATCGGTACTACGGTACAACAGAGCGGGGGCTTGGCTTCGCCTACGGCGAAGCTGTTGGTTGGGCCTCCCAACCCCCTTTCAAACTCTGGGAACCAGCTCTGGGCCTTCTGGGGACCTCTTGGGGCGGTGCGTTCGATAGGTCGATACCGAGGCCCTTCTTAGGGAGCTCGTGGGGCCCTCTTGGGTCGCTTGGCAGGCCTCTTGGCCCGTCCTGGAGACCTCTTGGGCCGTCTCGGCGCCCTGCTGCGGGGGACGCTCCATTTCCACGCCCACACCAATGGCGGGCCGAGTCCGCGGCCAGAGGGCCGCGGGCCAGCCCTAGTCGGCTACAGCGTTGGGGCCAGCGCGTATGAGGAGGGCGACCGCTGGCAGCAGGCTCTGGCGCCACTCGGCGAGATGCGGGAGGCGAAGCTGGAGCTCGACGTCGTCAGCTACGGTGCCCGCATCAGTGCGTTCGGTGCACGTGGGCAGTGGCAGCGGGCGTTGGCACTCATCGCCGACATGCGAGAGGTTCAGGTGACACCGAATGCGGTCTGCTGCAATGCTGGGATCAGCGCGTGCGGGAACAGCGAGCAGTGGCAGCACGCCATGGCGCTGCTCAGCGAGATGCGGGAGGCGAAGTTGGGGCCACAGGTCATATCGTTTGGTAGCGAATCATGTGAGCCTCGTGTACCCGAGTAGTAAGTCGGGCACGTCCCTCGCTACAGGAGGAATATTCAAACATAGTCAAACATAGTCGTGGGACTACTATTGGAGTGTGTTTAAGCATCTGTGGTGCATGTTTTGATTATTTTTCATTTGTCGTCCAAAATCCCCCTGTAGGGGGACATGCCCGACCTAACCCGAGTACTTCTGTCTTTAGATTGCACTAGCGTCGACTAGCCTCTTGGTAATCGATGCATCAATGCCGATTGAGCGTGGATTTGCGACGATGAGCGTCGATTTGCATCAATCTAGCGTCGATTGGCGTCGCTCTAGCGTGCATTAGCGCCGACGAGCGTCGATTCGCAAGAGCCAGTAAGATGGTATGGGAGGCTCTCGCGAGTTGCCGCGCAGAAGAGTTCTGCTGCAATACCCTGCGCGTGCCGAAGCAGTGTTCGGTGGCAGCGGTGCCGACCCCCCCGCCCCCTCCCTCCGGGGCCCTACTGGGCGGGTCCTCGCAGCAGCTCCGCGCTAGCTACGGCGAGACTCCGAGCCGCCCCCCCCGGAGGTCTCCAGGGTCGCCCAGGATGTTTCCGAGAGCCCAAGATGGCCTCCAGATGGCCCAACCTCTCGGCATCGCTCGGGCGTGCGCCGTGTACATCGGCGAGGGCCATCGAGGAGCATCCTGGATCATCGAGCAAACAAGCACACGCACGAACACGACAGATGCACGGGGAATGGACGTCCGAGCGATGGCGAGACGTGGAGCCCAGATGGCCCCGCCTGGGGCCCAAGCACGGTCCAAGAGGGCGAGAGGCGCCCCAGGTCGACATCGTCGAGCTCGTATGGGTTTGGGAAAATCTGATTGACTCCCTCGCCTTCTCGGGCCCCCGACGCTCCAGGAGGCCCCCGCACCGCCCAGGCGCGGCCCGAGAGGCCCCCCGGCGACCCAGTGCGAGGCGGCTTCCAAGAGGGCCCCACGAAGAGGGGCCCCGCGCCGCGCAAGGGCCCCCGAGGCCGCGCTGCAGGCCCCCAGAGGGGGCTCTCGAGGAGCCCCGGACACGGGGGCCCCCCGAGAGGCCCGGGTGGCAGGCCCTGGGACGGGGCCCATCCGAGGCCCCCCTTGCGATGCTCCAGGGCACCCCCAAGAAGGCGCCACGAGGCTCGGGGCGCTGGTGGGCTCCTCGGGGTGCCGGTGGGCTCCAGTCAGCTCCTGGTCGGGGCCTCCTGGTCTGGAGCCTCATCTGTGGTGCTGTCGCTTTCGCTCCTTTCTCCGCGCGGGGTGGCGGACTCTGGGACTCTCGTGGGGAGGCGGTCTGGCCGCGGGGCGTGAGAAATTAAATATTCACTGCGTGGAGCTCCCCATATGTGCATCTATTCGCATGGACCTGTCCGCCGTGAATGTCTAGGCGCAAGAGCTTTCGAATATACACGGGCTTCAGTTGTGACGGTCTGGACATAAATCTAACTGCGAATGAATTGGAGTGTGAATGAGCCTCAGTAGTACGAGCGCGTCTTTGTGCATGAGCCTGGGGCCTCCTGGGGCCTCCTGAAACCTACTGGGGCTTCCTGGGGTCTCCAGGAGCCTCTTGGGACCTCCTGGGACCTCCTAGGAAGGTTTCGTGCCCCAGGAGAGGCGCAATCTATAGCAACAGACGTACATAAAACATTGCGGATTAGAGCCACAGGAGAAGGGCAATCTATAGGAACACGCGTAAAACACCAAGGACTCGTGCCCCAGGAGAGGCCCAATATATAGGAACATAAGTAAAACATGTAGGATTGTGTACACAGGAGAAGGACAATATATAGAAACATACGTATAACATCAAAGAATCGTGCTCCAGGTGAGGCCCAATCGATAGGAGCATACGTAAAACACATGGGATTGGAGCCACTCCTGTTGCCTTCTGAGGCCTCCTGCTCCTGGGGCCTCTCGGGGCCTCCTGTTGCCTTCCGAGGCCTCCTGGCGCTTCCTGTTGCCTCATGGGGCCTCCTGTGGTTTCCTGAGGCCTTCTGGAGCTTCCTGGGGCCTCCTGGAGCCTCTTGGGACATCCTGTGGCCTCTTGAGTCTTTCTGTGGCCTCCTGATGCCTCCTGGGACCTCATGTGGTCTCCTGGGGCCTCCTGGAGCCTGTTGGAGCCTCCTGTGGCATCCTGAGAAGAATCTGCGCCCACGAGCCTGGCCACCAAAACAAGCAAACCGATCGAGACATCCTCAAAATCTGGCCCACCTGGGGGGTGAAAATGAGCGCCTCGCTCGAGACATCCTCCAAATCTGCTCCGAAAGCGAAGGATGTTGGGACAGAAAACAGGCAAACCGCTCGAGACGTCCCCACAAAATTCCGCGAACGGGACCCCGTGATATACCCCCCGCCGCTCCCCTTAGGAACGTGAAAATGAGCGTCTCGCTCGATCCAAATCTGCTCCGAAAGCAAAGGATGTTGGGACAGAAAACAGGCAAACCGCTCGAGACATCCCCACAAAATCCCGCGAAAGGGGCCGAGTGCAATACCCCCCCGCCGCTCCCCTTAGGAACGTGAATGAGCGCCTCGCTCGAGACATCCTCCAAATCTGCTCCGAAAGCGAAGGATGTTGGGACAGAAAACAGGCAAACCGCTCGAGACGTCCCCACAAAATTCCGCGAACGGGACCCCGTGAGATACCCCCCCGCCGCTCCCCTTAGAGTGCTGAGACGAGCGAATCGCCTGAGACATCCTCAACATCAGTGTGTGTGTGTGTGAGAGAGTCATCCGGTGAGTGGACCTGAGTGAGTGTAGTGAATGTATGAGTACAAGTACGAGTGAGTCTGAGTGATGATTGAGTCTGAGTGATGAGTGAGTCTGAGTGATGAGTGAGTCTGAGTGATGAGTGATGAGTCTGAGTCATGACTGAGTCCGAGTGATGAGTGAGTCTGAGTGATGAGTGAGTCAGAGGAGGTGAGGGTGTTCCTGTGTTCCTCGGCGCGGTCTGCCAATAACAAGAACCCCATCTCTTTGGATATGGGGAAAAAACGCCTCCAAGAGGCTTCCGAGGGAAGACTCCGCAGAGAGCTCTGGGGCCGCGCCAGCCACCCCAGAAGAGGAGACCCCAGACAGGATGGCGGCGTAACAGAAGTCAGGACGGGCAGTGTTTGGCCGATGTCGGCCTCGGGGGGCCCCCGCCGGGCCTCGGGGCCCTCCCAAAACAGCCCAGGCTAAATAGCCGGTCCCGGGGAGAGGGCTCGACGCCCTTCGCGCCACGCTCCTCGATGCTCGCCGCCCTGGCCTCGCTCACTGGCTCCTCGCCGCTCACTCCTCCCTCGCTCCTCCCGCCGCCCTGCTGCCTCCTCGCTTCTCCCTCGTGGCCAGTGAAGCCTGCCTCCCCCCCTTCTGCCCTTCTTCTCTTCGGCTCACCCTCGTCCCTCCCTGCCCCCCTCTCTCTCTCTCTCTCCTCGTCCGTCGCTCCTTCTGGATCGCCCCTTGCTCATCGCTGATCGCTCCTCCCTTCGCCCCATCTCCCCCTCGACACTGACTTCTCGCCCCTTGCTCATCTCATCGCTCAGGGGCTGCAGGTTGCGTCAGCAGGCACGGGCACCAAGAAACAACAAGCAGCAGCAGCTGCAGCAGCAGCAGCAGCGGCAGCAGCAGCAGCGGCAGCAGAAGCAACATTCCGCAAGCAGCAGCACCCTGCAGCTGCAGGCAGCATCAGCAGAGGCGAAGGTCGGGCCCAACGTCATCACGAAAGCAACATTCGGCAACACCTCTGCCCTGGCCCAACGTGCCATCTTGGACAGACTTCGTGGCCAGTAGGACACGGGTACACACTTGTCACTAGTCTTACCTACGCTGCAGGCGTTCGTGCGTGCGAGAAGTGCCTGCGGATCAAGACCTGGAAAAACGCCCCCAGGCGCCTCCGCCGAGCTCGAGGACAGGGCCGGACCTGAACGGTATCTTGGCGATTTCGTGGGCCGCGTTCGCTTCCATCTCGTTTTGCGGCAAAGGCGGACTGGAGACAAAACGAGGGCAAACGAACACGAAGCGAAGGCGAAAAACACCGTTTAGGTTCAGCCTTGCTGGAGGACGCAATGCAGCGCGCCCTCTTCGCCCGAGGACGAGATCTCGCGCGCGACCGTGCCGTGCGAAACCTTGCCCGGCGCCCCTCATTTCGGGGCCGAGCGGTGAGGCCCTGGCCCTGTCGCGGACAAGATTTCGCACACTGCCCAGGCGTTGAACTTTCAGGAAGGAAACACACACCCACACACACACACACCCACACCCACACCCACACCCACACACCCACACCCACACCCACACCCACACCCACACACCCACACCCACACCCACACCCACACCCACACACACAATTCATCGTCGATCCCAGGAAAGGATGGGAACCTATGGGAAAAGGGGGGGAGACAAAAGGCCAGAGAACATGGGAAAATGTGGGGCAATCCTGCTGTCTGTGTGTATTTACTTGTGTCTCCCAGGGCCCCTTCCGTCTTCCTGTCCTCCGGCGCCGGCCGCCGACACTGCCCGCAGGGAGCCCTGGAAGGGCTCCAGACGGCCCCAGACACCCTCAAAGGATAGCCCCAAGACGCCCCAGGAGCGCCCCGACGCCGCCTACAGACTTTTTCAAGGGTACCCTGGGGTCCTTGCCTGCCTCAGCCTCTGCGGCCCGTCCCTAGCAATTTTCGCAGGCCAGTTTCTCAGGTTCCATGGGGGTTTGGCCGCCTGCCGCCCAGAATGCTTCAACTTCGGCCCCCAAGGGTCTTGCGTCCTTACCACGCGTCCTTACTATACGTTTTCTCTGTACGCCGGCTCCGACCCGAGCCCCTGGAGGCCCACCGAGGCCGCCACAGTGCGCGGCAGGACCGCTCGAGGGCGAGATTTCACGCGGGGTCTCGGCCCGAGGCCGAGCTTTATGACGTGAGAGCCCCGCGCCCCCCCAGCTTGAGAGCAAGATTCAACGCGAGGGTGGCATGTTAGATTTTGTCCGCGGCTCCTCCTCCTCCTCCTCCTCCTCCTCCTCCTCCTCCTCCTCCTCCTCCTCCTCCTCCTCCTCCTCCCGGGGTCCATCGCTGAGGCCTCCGGCCTGCTTGTCAGCGACAAGTGGGAAGCCCACGTGGCGCCTTACGTAATGGAATGCGCCTGGCGGCGCCCCCCTCCCCCCGCGAGTCCACGCAGTTCACGGGTCAGCCCCAGTCAGCTACAGCGCTGGGATCAGCGCGTGTGAGAAAGGGAAAGAGTGGCAGCCAGCTCTGGCGCTATTCAACGAGATGCGGGAGGCGAAGTTGGAGCCTGATGTCATTATCTACGGTTCTGGCATCAGCGCATGCGAGAAATGCGGACAGTGGCAGCGGGCTCTGGTACTCCTTAGTGGCATGGAAGAGGTGCAGTTGGAACCAAATGCTGTCTGTTGCAGTGCTGGGATCAGCGCGTGCGAGAAAGGCGAGCAGTGGCAGCAGGCGCTGTCTCTGCTGAGGAAATTCAGGGATATTGTAGCGGATCCGAACGTCATCCCGTACAGTGCTGCTATCAGCGCATGCGGGAGATGCGGGCAGTGGCAACAGGCTTTGGTGGTGTTCAGTGAAATACGGGAGGCGGCACTTACACCAGACGTCATGGCTTTCAGTGCTGGCATCAACGCATGCGAGAAGGGCAGGCAGTGGCAACAGGCGTTGTCTTTGCTTGCCGAGATGTCGACGACGAGGTTGGATCCAAACGTTATCAGCTACAATGCTGCGCTCAGTGCGTGCAGCCGATCTGGGCAGTGGAAGTCAGTGCTGTCGCTCCTTGGCCACATGAAGGAGTCTGAAGCCGAACTTGATGCCATGAGCTACAGTGCTGGGATGAGCGCGTGCGGTGCTGGTGGACGGTGGATGCTTGCGTCCTCGTTGTTCACCGAAATGGTGAAGGGGAGCGTTCAACTGAGCCGAATCGTCTACAGTGCAGGAATCAGCGCGTGCCGAAAAAGCGGCTGGGAGTGGGCACTGGTTCTGTTTAGAAAGATGGAGTCAAACAACAAGCGCAATCGTTGGGTGACCCCTGACGTGAAAGCCTACACGGCTGCAATCACGGCTTGTGGGTCGGGCGGGCAGTGGCAGCAGTCATTGAGGCTGCTCAGGGGAATGAAGGACGCAGGGTTGGATCTCGACGTGTTCAGCAGCACTGCTGGCATTCGCGCGTGCGAGAAATCAGGACAGTGGCAGCACGCGCTGGCGCTGCTAGAGGAGGCCTGGGATGCAGCCTTGGAGCCGAACGTCGGCAAGGCGCAGCTCCTGGCGCGTGCGCGAGAGCGGCCAGCAGTCTGAGTTGCCAGCTGCGCAGCGGCCGTGGAGCCCGACAACCCCTGACGACCCCCGTGGGCCCGTTCCGTGGCCCGCCGGGGGGCGGGGGGGGAACTGTGGCCGCGCGCTTGCCGTGCTCGGCGGCGAGCGGGGAGGGGGTGGAAGTGAGAAGGAGAAGGCCTTCTCAGAAGGTTCGGAAGTCCCCCGGGCCTTCTGGGGAGGTTTTCGAGGAAGGAGAAGCGCCACAAACCATAAACTGCTGTCGCTCCGCGCGGATTGCTTGGATCCGCGCTGTGCCCCCCAGGCGGCGCCTCCGGCGCCGCCCTGGCGCACTCCGCGCGCCGCTGGGGCCCAGCGCAGGTCATGTTTATGTTCATGGTATGTATTCTTCTTCTAGTTTCTCTGAGCCTCCCCCGAAGGCACAAAGAACCTCTCAGGAGGCGCGAGGGCTTCTGAGAAGCCCCGCCTTCTTCTTCTTCTTCTCGGACGCCTGGTGGTTTGTGGGCCATAACTCGGCTCTCCAGTGGCCGTTCGGGTCGATCCAGGCACCACCGGAGCGCTCTCGGCGAGGCGCAGCCGCTGGAACGCATTCAGAAGCAGGGAAACCGCCGAGAACCGACGAACACGTCCGAAAACCTCGAACCTCGATCCCGAAACTTCTCCTTCTCATGTCCTCCCTCGCTCGCCGCCGACGTGCTGCATTTGGCCCTTTGCCGCGGGAGAGCTTGTGCCCGCGGGGGCGGCGAGCGGGGGTCTGCTGGAGCGTGTGCAAATGGACGAGGTGTTTCCCTGCAGCTCGGAGATCAAGGTGGGCATCGTGCACTGCTGAAACATAACTGAAGTAAGGTCCAGTCTGGTGTTTCTGCTCTTCTTCTGATCATGGCCGCGTGTCCGAAGCCAGCACCTCCAGCGACGCCAGCATCTCCAGCGACGCCAGCATTTCCAACAGACGCCAGCAGTTCCAGGTGTATCCGCGGCGCCAGAGCTCCCACGACGCCAGCATCCCAGAGCGCCTCCTGAGCCCGGCAGCGGGGCCTAGGAGACGGGGGTCAGTGCAAACGGGGGTCAGCCAGGGCACTAGATCCTGCAGGATCCTGCGAAGACCCCCTCTGGCTGACCCGGGTTACCGAGCCACTCATGGCCGCGAGGCGGCCGCGCCGGTTGGCTGACCCCAGTTTGCGAAGACCTGCGCTGCAGTTGTTTTTCCTGCATTGCAGTTTTTGGTTTCCTGCTGACCCGGGTCTGCATTGACCCGGGTCAGAAGATCCCCGACGGCAGTCCTCCCGCAGGGGCGTCCCCGCGTCTGCGGGGGGGCCGGGGGGGTCGCGCCTGTTCGTGCTCCGCCACGGGGCGGGGAGGGCACGCCGCCTCTGGCCGGTGATCCGCTGGCTCTACGTGAGAGTGACCTTTCGCCGGACCCAGACATGATCGCGTCGTGTCTTTTTTGTTTGCTTATACATATATATACACATATTATATATACACATACGTCTACATATTTATATATATATACACACACCTATACGACCACCCTTCGGGTGATGAGGAGGTTCGGGGGGGGAGGATGCAGCGTCTCACTCGATCGGTCTCACTATCCATCTCACTATCGGTCTCGCTCGATCGATTTCACTCGATCGATCTCACAATCGATCTCACTCGATCTATCTCATTCGCTCGGTCTCACAATTGATCTGATTGTCGATCTCACAATCCATCCCACATTGGGTCTCACGATCGATCTCACTACCGATATCACAATCGATCTAACATTCAACGTCATCACCATCATCATCAACAACACCACCATCTCCATCGTCATCGGGACACTGTCATCTTCCCATCATCATCGTCGCCATCATCATCAACTCTATCATCATCAGGCCATTCTCATCAACGCCATCATCATCTCATCATAGTCATTATCGTCATCATCATCATCATCATCGGGACACAGCTATCGTCATCATCACCATCAAAATCATCATCATCATCATCATCGGGACACCATCATGATCACCATCATTTTCATCGCCAACATCATCAACAACAACATCGGGACACCATCATCATCATCATCTCATTATCATCATCAACATCATCAGCATCATCATCATCACCAACATCATCATCAATATCATCATCGGCGCACCATCACCATCACCATCATCATCACCACCGTCATAATAATCATCATCATCGGGAGACCATAATCATCATCAGCAGCACCATCATTACCAACATCATCATCAACAACAACGGGCAGCAACATCATCATCATCGTCATCTCATCATCATCATCATCATCAGCATCAACAATCATCATCACCAGGACACCATCATCGTCATCATCATCACCATCAACATAGCCATCATGATCATCATCAAAAACATCATTATCGGGACACCGACGGGGCACCGAGGGGACACCGGCGGGACACCGCGGGCCCCCGGCCGCCCGGAAGGGAATCATTTCGTCCGGCCGCGCCTCAGCCACACGGGACACCGACGGGACACCGGCGGGACACCGCGGGCCCCCGGCCGCCTGGAAGGGAGTCATTTGGTCCGGCCGCGCCTCAGCCACACGGGACACCAGCGGGACACCGGCGGGACACCGCGGGCCCCCGGCCGCCCGGAAGGGAGACATTTGGTCCGGCCGCGCCTCAGCCACAGTCTCTCGCCCGCCCACGCAGCTTCGCCTCGCCCGCACGGCACGCACGAACACGAAACCGACATCGATTTCCCGGTAGGGGGGCTCTCCGTTCCACTTCGATCTCACCCCCTCACCTCCGATACCGCATAGACCACCCTTCGGGTGATAAGGAGGTGAGGGGGGGGGAAGGACCAACGTCGCACTCGATTGATCTCACTATCGAACTCACCACCGATCTCACAATCGATCTCAATCGATAGATCTCACAATCGATCTGACGATCGATCTCACAATCAATATCACAATCGATCCCACAATCGATCCCACAATCGATCTCACATTCGGTCTCGCTATTGATCTCACAATCGATATCACAATCGATCTCGCATTCGATCTGACTATCGGTCCCGCTATCAAACTCACTATCGATTTCATTATCGATCTCACATTCGGTCTCACTATCGATCTCATTATCGATATCACAATCGATATCACAATCGATCCCGCATTCGGCCTCACGATCGATCTCTCTATCGAACTCACTTTCGATCTCATTATCGATCACACTATCGATCTCACTATCGATATCACATCCGAACTCACAATCGATCTCACATTCGGTCTCGTCATCGATCTCACTATCGAAATCACTACCGATCTCATTACCGATAGTGATGTCACTACTATCTCAATCGATCGATCTCACAATCGATATGACTATCGATCTCCCAGTAGATTCCACAATCGATCTCACATTCGGTCTCACTATCGATCTCACTATCGATATCACAATCGATCTCACAATCGATATCCCATTCGGTTATACAATCGATCTCCCTATCGATGTCATTATCGATCTCACATTCGGTAACACAATCGATCTCACAATCGATCTCACAAGCGATCTGACATTCGATTTCACAACCGATATCACTACCGATCTCACTATCGATCATCAAAACAAAACATCAACATCGTCATCATCATCATCATCACCATCATCATCATCATCATCATCATCATCACTATCATCACCATAATCGGGACACCGACGGGGCACCGGCGGGACACCGCGGGGCCCCGGCCGCCCGGCAGGGACACATTTGGTCCGGCCGCGCCTCAGCCACACGGGACACCAGCGGGACACCGGCGGGACACCGCGGGCCCCTGGCCGCCCGGAAGGGAGACATTTGGTCCGGCCGCGCCTCAGCCACAGGAGACTTTCTCTCGCCCGCCCACGCAGCTTCGCCTCGCCCGCACGCACGGCACGCACGAACACGAAACCGAAATCGATTTCCCGGTACGGGTGCTCTCCGTTCCACTTCGATCTCACCCCCTCACTTCCGACATACCTATACGACCACCCTTCGGGTGATAAGGAGGTTCGGGGGGGGAGGAACCAACGTCTCACTCGATCGGTCTCACTTTCGGTCTCACTATCGATATCAGTATCGATATCACTATCGGTCTCGTTCGATCGATCTCACTCGATCGATCTCACAATCGATCTCACTCGATCTATCTCATTCGTTCGATCTCACACTTGATCTGACTATCAGTACCACAATCGATCTCACATTCGGTTTCACTATCGATATCACAATCGATCTCACAATCAACGTCATCATCATCATCACCATCAGAACCATCAACATCACCATCATCATCATCATCATCATCATCATCATCATCATCATCATCATCATCATCATCATCATCATGGGGACACCATCATCATCATTATCATCAAAATTCGCATCATCAGCATCATCATCATCATCATCATCATCATCATCATCATCATCATTTTCATCATCATCATCATCATCATCATCATCATCATCATCATCATCATCATCATCATCATCATCATCATCATCATCATCATCATCATCATCATCATCATCATCATCATCATCATCATCGGGACACCGACGGGACACCGACGGGACACCAGCGGGACTCCGGCGGGACACCGCGGGCCCCCGGCCGCCCGGAAGGGAGTCATTTGGTCCGGCCGCGCCTCAGCCACACGGGACACCAGCGGGACACCGGCGGGACACCGCGGGCCCCTGGCCGCCCGGAAGGGAGTCATTTGGTCCGGCCGCGGCTCAGCCACAGGAGACTTTCTCTCGCCCGCCCACGCAGCTTCGCCTCGCCCGCACGGCACGCACGAACACGAAACCGACATCGATTTCCCGGTAGGGGGGCTCTCCGTTCCACTTCGATCTCACCCCCTCACCTCCGATATTAAAAGGCGGGAGATGTTTGGCCAATTTCGGCCTGGGGGGGCCCTCGCGGGGCCTCGGGACCGTCAAACCACGACTCAGGGTGAAGAACCGGTCCTGGGGAACGGGTCGGGACTTCCACGGACCCCGTATGGACAACGTCGCTTGTCTGGGCACGTGAGAGTGACCTGTCGCCTGAGTGACTTTGGCGCTGGCTCACTGCGCGTCGCTTCGTGTGGGGCCACGAATGGGGGGGCAGCGAGTGCTGCAGGAAACGGGCCCTTTAATTAGGGCCCCCAATGGGCCATCTAGGGTACAAAAGGGGGTTTCTAGGGCTCGAGAATTTCAAGCAGTTGCGAAGCGTCCTGGCTCGCCTATAGGCCCACCAAAGAATGTTCTAAGAACCTCTTGTGGTCTGCACGACATGTTCTTAGAACATTTCTGGCTGAGACTGTTCTGTTTTAACGCATCGGACTTATGTTCTAAGAACACTGCTTTGTTTTTCGAACAGCTTTGGGTTCTGAGAACATGTCGTGGTAGGACTGTAGGAATGCCGGGACGGTCGGTCCCTGCACAAGAACTGCACCTTCCCCCCTCCCCCCAGTCATCGCGCCCCCATTAAGCGACGCCTCTCCAGATGGCCGAGAATGCAAGGCGACAGCAGCGGCTGGCGCGCTCCAGTCGGGCCTCCCCGCGGCCCCCCCTTCCGAGTGTCGCGCACGCGCCTCGCTCTCTCGCAAAAGGAGCGGCAGAGGTCGGAGGCCGATCGACTTGCCACTCGCAGATTCTATTGCTCTGTCGAAAGACAAAGGTGGAAGAAGAAACAAACGCATAAACAGAAGCTGTTGACGCCCAGCGCGGACCTCTTGGATCTGCGTGAATCGGCGCCCTGGCGGCGCCTCCGGCGCCGAACCCCGCTCGCCAGGGAGGGGGGGTCCAGCGCAGACGATCCGCGCGGAGCACCAAGAGTTCATGCCGATGCCGTCTCCTCGTCCTCTGAAAACAGCAGCACGGGCATGATCCCTCGGAGGCCCGCGCGGGTTTCATCATCGGGTCGGCGCGGAGCCCCCCCTGGCAGCACCTTCGACGCCGCCCTCGGCGCGCGGCGCGCGCCACGGAGGGGGGGGCCCAGCGCCGATCCGAGAGTCCGCTCGGGCCCCCGGACATTTGTTTGGTGTGATCGCCTGTGCCCCTATATCTTTCGGGGGTGGACAGACCTCCTACCCTGACACGTCGATTAGTGAATCGGCCGTTTTCGGTTCGCGGGAGGGCGTCGCGGCCGTCATTTTTGCGGGTCCAGGTCCGTCGGTTTGGGCCCCGGGCCGTTTTCACTAAACGGAGGTTTATTAAAGGGAGGTTTGTCCACCGCCGAATCTTGTTTTGCGGAGACCGGTTGCTTGAGCGTCGAGCTCCTGTTGCCTCGCTCGGCTCGAGGGCGCAGCAGTGACGTCATACAGATGACTGTCGGGCCCAGTCCGAGTCCGAGCACCAGAGGGGCAGAAGAAAAACAACTCATGATGTGCTCCCTCGCTGTCTCTTCTCTTCCTCCCCTCCTTGCCTCCTCTTCTCTACCCTCCTTTCCTTTGAACCCTTCCATCCTGTCCCCCCCATCATCCTCTTACCTCCCTCCCCCCTTCCCCCCGTTCCTCCGCCCCAGAATCTCTACGGACACCCTGTAAGCCCTTAAACCTTGCCAGATCCTTTCCAGAAGCTCGTAGACTTTCGGCGAGGAGCAGGGGAAAGACAACGAGGAGGGGGAGCATTCGGAGGATCCACCTCGCCCTCCACCTCCTCCATCGTCCCTTTTCCCCTGCTCTCTATTCATAGTTGTTATCTTTTCTTCGTGGTTTTCCCCCCCCTCTCTCTCGCCTGATAAGACCACATAGACGCATGCACAGACACGAGTCTGGTTTCCTCTCTGTCTGTCTGTCCGTCTGCCTGCCTGCCTGCCTGCCTGCCTGCCTGTCTGTCTGTCTGTCTGTCTGTCTGTCTGTCTGTGTGTCTGTCTGTCTGTTGAGAAGGAGGAGGAGGAGGAAGAGGAGGAGGAGGAGGAGGAGGAATAGGAGCAGGAGGAGGAAGGATGATGGAGCGTCTTGCGGGCCTCTTGCTCGCTCTCGGGGGGCATCTTCGAGCGTCTTGGGTGCCTTTGGAGCCCGTCTGAAACCCTTTTGGGGGCGGTTGGGGGCTCTCTTAATCAGCACTGCCCCCCTGTAGCCAGAACAGTCGCCTCTTGGGGCGGTCTTGGGCGCTTTGGGAGCTGTCTTGGAACCCTCGTGCCCCCCCCTTTTGGCTCTCTTTTGGGCCCTCTTCGAGCCATCTTGAGGCCTCGGAAGGCCATCGGAAGCGCACAGGCGCGAAGGCCAATATGATGGATGTCCGATTGTTTTTGTACGGACTTTGGCATCTTGGGGGCGCCTTGGGGATGTCCTGAGGCCACTTGGACCCGTCTTGGAGCGGGCGTGGGATCTCTTGAAAATGGGCACGGTAGAACCGACGGCAACCGGAAACGGCGAAAAAAACTGTTCTGGAATTGGAACGGGAACCGGAACCGGCAAAACAACGGCGACGGAATCGGAAAAAGACGGCGCTGGAACCGGCAACGAACACGGCAAAACGGAACCGGCAACAAAAACGGCATTTTCGTTTCCATGGCCTTCTGAGCTCTTGGAGTATGTTCGACACCACCTTGAGCCGTCTTGGGATACCTTGAGCCATCTTGGAGGCCAGATTGGGCTATCTGAGGCCCTCGTGGAGACATCTTGGGCCGTCTTGGACGCTCCAGCACCTCGCGGGGCGCCCAGTCCAGACCCAAGGAGAGCGGGCACGGTAGATTACCAGGAAGTCGGGCACGTCCCTCTACAGGGGGACTATTCAAAAATTGACAAAGAAATGGTACGGGGACGATTTTTGATTATCTTTGGTTTTTGTTGTGGGACTAGTTTTAATTTGTCCTCCGAAATCCGCCTGTAGGGGGACATGCCCGACCTGCGGTTATCATCGTGTCGACCAGCGGCGACCTCGCCGCCGACGTTCAGCGTGGAGCGCCGGCGGCGGCCCAGAAGCGGTCGACTTACAAGGAGCGGACGTTTCGGAAGCCGCCCACCGTTCAGGGTTGGGCGCGATTCCCGTGGTGCCAGAGGCACACGCCGAGGTCGGCACGACACGAACCTGCCGTATAGGGGGCGAGGTGGCCCTCGTCTCGAAGGGGAAGAAAGAGACCCAGACATGCGACGCCCTGATTTGTTCAATGCGGGGTCCCTGGAAGTCCCGACCCTTTCCACGGGACCAGTTTTTCATCCTGAGTCGTTTCTTGATGGGGGTTTGCAGAGGAGGAGTTCTCCCAAGGTGGAGTCAGGGCACGAACCCAGCTGGATGATCAGACTTCCTGCTTTCAGGATGCGTTTCGAGCGATGTTCCTCCCAACCGCACCTCTGCCTCTACCCGACCTTTGCGTCCCCCCGAATCTTGATTCGATTTCGTCGCTTCTCTCGACGACGGGTGGGACGTTGGGCAGGACTGCGATTATCCGTTTTCCTCCTCCTCCTCTTCCTCCAAGACAAGGTATGGTTCCCTAAGATGCAGCTCCTGGCAGGTGCAATGCAGCATGGGAGCGGGTAGATCTTTGACCGGAAGCATGCCAAAGGCGGCATGATCCTGGCGAGTTCCGCGCAGTTCAAGTCAATCTTGCGCTCAATCCCAACGAATCTGGCTTAATGGCCCCTCAGCCAGATCGTCCTTACGAAGACGCGAGTTGACTCCTACGACTCCTGATCTCCTCTGGTAAGGCTTCGGGTTGCGCGCAGACAGCCCGCCCAGGTAGTCCCAGCTGTCCTGAACAGGCCCCCCGAGTATGCCCAGCTGGCCTGTTGAGGCCAGCTGGGAATACTCCGGGGGGTCTGCTGAGGTGAGGCGGGAAGTCCTGGGGGCCGAGGGAACGAGCACACTGACCATGACCAAGATGCCGCGGGATCCTGTCGACGCCGATTCTCGAGGATGATCCACGAGTTGATGCTGACCGACATTGACCCTGGCCAAGATCGGCACGACGTTGCCGCGCTCAGTCTTGGTCGTGGTCCCTGTTCCCAGGCCCCCAGCGACATGCTTTCTGCACGACGCGGGCCTCCAGCGATCTGGGCCCATTCCCTGGACCCGGTTTTTCATCCCGAATCATTTTTGACGGCCCCGAGGCCCACAAGGGCCTCCAGAGTTATGATGCTCCAACCTACTTTAGCCTTGACCACCAGAAAGAATCTTGAGCACCAAGAAAGTATCGAAATTTGAGATTTTCGCGTGTCGGGCCCGGCGAGGCGATACTCGCTCGATAGTGTTTTGATTATTTTCTGGGTGCTCGAAATCATTTCTGGGATGTGGTCCCCGAGTACGATGGGAGCAACATAACTCTAGAGGCCGAAACTGGCGAGAAGCCTCGCGCCCTGATTTTCGACACGACCCGAGAGGGTCTGGCGGGGGGCCGTTCGCGCGCGGCCTGGGGCCTTCGCGCTGGTCTCCCCTGGGTGCCGCATCGCCGATGCATCGGCGATGCACCAGCGATGCATCGGCGATGCGGCTCGGTGTGGGGTCCATTTCTCTCCACGCCGACGTCGCCGCTGCACCGCCGACGTCGGCAGCGCATGGCCGGTGCATGGCCGGTGCATCGGCGATGCGTCGCCGATGTATCGGCGATGCGGTGCGATCTTCCGACCCCATCTACTCCGACCCCATCTAGGATTAAGTCGGGCACGTCCTTCTACAGGAGGAATATTACCTAACAGCGAAGACTGATAGGTTTCTAGTTGACTCAAAAGAGCTCACAGATCACTCCACAGGGGGGTCCGGGCAGGTGTTGGGAGTTGCCGGGCGGCAGGGGGCCCCGCTCGTTTTTCACCAACAGTCACACACTTCGTGCTCTTCGACTTCCCAGAACTCCATTCCCAGGCCACATTCTGGAGGGCCGGATGCAACAGTCACACACTTCGTGCTCTTCGAGATCCCAGAACTCCATTCCCAGGCCACATTCTGCAACAGTCATTCGTGCCGAGGGGGCCACATTCTGGAGGGCCGGATGCAACAGTCACACACTTCGTGCTCTTCGAGTTCCCAGAACTCCATTCCCGGGCCACATTCTGGAGGGCCGGATGCAACAGTCACACACTTCGTGGTCTTCGAGTCCCAGAACTCCATCCCGGGCCACATTTTGAATGCCCGGAGCCAACTGTAGGCCACTTCTTGGTCTTCGAGTTCCCAGAACTCCATTCCCGGGCCACATTTTGAATGCCCGGAGCCAACTGTAGGCCACTTCGTGGTCTTCGAGTTCCCAGAACTCCATTCCCGGGCCACATTTTGGATGCCCGGAGCCAACTGTAGGCCACTTCGTGGTCTTCGAGTTCCCAGAACTCCATTCCCGGGCCACATTTTGGATGCCCGGAGCCAACTGTAGGCCACTTCGTGGTCTTCGAGTTCCCAGAACTCCATTCCTGGGCATGAATTTGAATGCCCGGAGCCAACTGTAGGCCACTTCGTGTTCTTCGAGTTCCCAGAATTCCATTCCCAGGCCACATTTTGAATGCTGAGGCAGGCTGAGGCTGAGGCTGAGGCAGGCTGATGCTGAGGCAGGCTGAGGCTGAGGCCGAGGCCGATGCAGGCTGAGGCTGAGGCAGTCTGAGGCTGACGCCGAGGCTGAAGGCAGACTGAGGCTGAGGCTGAAGCAGGCTGAGGCTGAGGCTGAGGCAGGCTGAGGCTGAGGCAGGCTGAGGCTGAGGCTGAGGCAGGCTGAGGCTGAGGCTGTGTCTGTGACTGCCGTTGCCACTGCGACTGTCATCGCGAATGCGACTACGACTGCGAGAACAGCACAATTCTACAACTGGATTCTCATTTGAATCTTAAGGGGAATGCTTCCAGATATGCTCCTACACATCGCTGTTAGGTTGCTTTGCCGGGATAATTTATGAATAGTTAAAAATCGTCAGGGGACGATTTTTCCATTATGCGTTGCGCTTTTGGATATTGCGAAGGCCTTACGGGCCAGTGCCGCCGACCCAGGTGGAGTAAGGGTGGAGGAGGTGGATGAGGGAGGAGGAGGGGGGAGAAGGATGTGGAGGAGAAGCAAGAGAAGGAGAAGGAGGCAGAGGAGAGCAGGAGGAGGGGGAGCAGAGGGGGGTGGGAGGAGGAGGAGGAGAGGGAAGAGGAGGAGGCCAGAGACTTTCTTGGGACAGCCTGGGGTTCCCTTGAGGCCGTCTTGGGCCGTCCAGGGCTCCTCTTGCGCCGTCTCGAGGCACTCTTGGAGGCCTCCTGGGCAATTTGGGGCTCTCCTGGGCTGTCTTGGGGCAGTTTGGGGGCCCCTTGGGAGCCTGTTGGGGCCTCTTGGGGCTTCTTCGGGGCCTCTTGGGGGCCTCTTGGGGCTGGGAGCTTGAAATGTTCGTTCGGGTCCCCCGCCTGGCAACTCTCCTGGAGCCGTCTTGGGGGCATCTTGGGTCGTCTTGTAGGCGTCTTGGACCGTCTTGGGG